CCATAGGCCGGGTTGTCTGTTATCACGTACATCTTTTTTTTTCTTTTAATATTTTTCGTCTTCTTTTGATAGGTAATACATACAATGGCAACAATGCAAACAGTACAAAAAGGTATACAGTAAAAGGAAGTCCCTTTCAACGGCCCACCCCCACACCCAGTGCCCGTCCCGTGCCCCTGTCGCGGGCCAGCTCCCTTCCAGATACTCTACAAATGTGTGTTCATTCGTCTCAAGAACATTTCACCAGAGAAGCGCGGCCGGGTCCTGCCAACTGCCACAAGCAGTGAGAAGAGCGAAGCCCCCGCACGGGGAGCGGGGCAGGGAGGGGTCCCTGGGCTTCCGCCACCAGCTTAAGGCGACCCGGGACCGGTCCTACTCGCCGGTTCTGGGCTCCCTTCCTTCCTCGCCAGGATTTCCGCCTGGGAAAGGTCCCCTCCCCCTTAAGGCTTTTCAAGGACCCCTTCCAAGGCCATCTTTTGAAAGAAAAAAGTCTGTGACACCACGACTCCCGACCACTTTTAGGGGACCTGGAAGCCTACCGGGTCCCCAAGCGCGAGACAAGGCTTATAACGCCTTCCTCGCCACTGGGGGCCGGCGCGTCGGACCGAGGCGGCCGAAAGCCTGGGCGTCGCTCCCGGCTCTGGCCTCCAACCGGGGGACCCCGCAGCATCACCTTAACGTGCCCCCGCCCCCGCCCCTCAACTGGCCGGGGCCGTCCTCCGCTCCCCCAGTGGGCGTGTCGGGCGGCGGGAAGGGGTTTAGTCGGGGTTAGCTTGGCCCGGCGGCGGGCGGTCACCTGTAGCCACGGTTGGTGGCCCTCGGCGGGATGCGGTAGACGTGGACCTCCGGCTTGACACACAACACCGACTCGTACTCGCCCTCCTCCATCTCGATGCCCGCGGCCCGCCAGACTTCCTGCTCCTTCCCAGCCGGGGGCGGGGGGACCGGAAGCGGCGCGACTCTATGACCCCGCCCCCGGTCAGGCTAGAGCGGCGGCTCGCGGGCCTCAGCGCCCGCGCGCCCCCTGCTGGAAGCCCTGGCTCAAGCCATGCGGCGGGCGGACCTGGGGAGAACCAGGGCGCTCTGGGGACTTCACCCTCCCACCAGGCATACAGACTCCACCTTACCTGGCTGTGGGTCATCCCTGTGGCCTCAGCACTTACATCTGCGGCCCAGTTGGCTGAGATTCAAAGCTGTAGCGACTTACACAGCTCGCCCTGAAGACTCTTTCAGCCTTTGCCTCCTCCTTCTGACTCTGACTCTACTGAGGCTTCTCCTGCAGAAATCCTTACCTGACCCACCATCTCAGTGGGGTCCCCCTCCCCAGCCACCCTTATCCTAGCCCACCATGTGCCCAGGGCCTCCTGTGGCTTAGACTCAACAGAGGGCTGTATTCAAAGCAGCAAAGTTTAGAAATACAAGTGTGATCCTGAGTAAAGAAGCCCCACTTAAAGTGGAGCCAGGAGGTGATGGCAAATGGGAAGATGGGCCCTTCCGACGCTCCAGCTCCCCATCCCACCCAGTGGGAATAGAGTGAAGGCCATCTGTGAGAGCTTGGGAGCCTGGCCAGCTCCTCCATCTAAGTGAGGCCGACCAGAAACTGCTTCTAGCTGTGAGCCTGGATTGTGGGAGCAACAGGGATCAGCTGCCTCCCCCATACCCCCTACCAGGGATGGAGCTCACACTGGGGCATGTGCCCTGACTGAGAATCGAACCAGCAAACCCCAGGTGCATGGGGAGACCCCCAACCAGCTAAGCCGCGCTGGCAGGGCTCCGCCAATGGACTTTCCTTCAGAGCACCCCTTCCCAACTGCCTCCTTTTTCTCTGGAAAGTAAGGTTCTTCTCCTTTGTTTGCTAGACTTGCCTATAGTTTTTTGCTTTAGCATGCTTGTCCTGAATAAACCCTTATATTTTTTTTGCTGGTAAGGATAACTGGCTGTTTTATTTTTAAGGTCACCATAAGTAATTTAAAAAGAACCCTGGTCTTAACTTGAATTTCTCACAGAATGTTATAGGGGATATAAGATCTAACCATAGTTAGGTTCTCAAAATCCTTTCCCCTCCTCTGCTACACTCTCATTCATTCCACAAATATTTATTGAGTGCTTACAGTGTGCCAGGTCCAATGTGGGGCACAGATGATCCCAAATCTCCGATTCACTTAATATTCCCAAACTTTCTCCACCCCCTTCTCCCCTCTGCTCTCTCTCTCCTTTTGCTCACTCTGTAAAAGCTCTTTGTTCTAGGAATGATCTAACCTCTTGAATTAAAAAAATTTTTTTACTATGTTTTTATTGAGAGAGGAAGGGAGAGGGAGAGAGAAACATCAATGATGAGACAGTCATTGATCAGCTGCTTCCTGCACGCCCCCGAATGAAGATCAAGCCTGCAACCCGGGCATGTGCCCTGACCAGGAATAGTACCTTGAGCTCCTGGATCCTAGGTCGATGCTCAACCACTGAGCCACGCCTGGCCAGGCTGAGTCCTTGTTGCCAATTCTCTTGAGTATATATCTAGAAGTAGACTTGCTGGGCTATATGATATTTCTACGTTTAGCTTTTTGAGAAACCATTTTACATTCCCACTAGCAGAGAACACTGGTTTGATGTGCCTCACCAAGGGCGCTTCGCCAGGAAATGCTATTTTTCATTTCCTTTCTAACAGCCATCCAGGAGGGTGTGAAGTTAACCTCTCTTTATGTGAACTGACTTAACTTCTAATTTCAACTCTGCTTACTACCCTAATTCTCTACAGCAAAGAAGTTGAGAAATGACCCAGAAAAATGAGGTTTCTCCCTCCTAGTTCTTTGGTCCTGTCATTTTCTCAGCGTCATGGAGTGGCAAAGACAGAACTCCCCTTAGAAGGTGGAGAGGGAGAGCTATTGAGGGGAGGGGAGGGGAGAGCACACTCCCACATGGACAATCTTATCCCCTCCCATTCTCATCATTGCGCTTGTGCCTGCCTTTCCACTACACTGTGAGCTTCTGGGATGTAGGGCCCTGTCCCTGCCACCTGTGGACCCCTGTATTCAGCAGCACAGGGCCTGGCACAGGGCGAGCGCTCAATGAATGAATGAGCAAGTGTGTGCTTGTGCGTGTGCCTGTGCGTGTGCGTGTGCATGTGCGTGTGTGTATACAATTGGCTGCATCCCAAAGCCAAGCAGCAATTTGGGGCTAGGCCACCGTGTGTTCTCTTTCACACTCCGACTCCTTGCATCAGTATGTGCCCAGCACACAGGGAAAAATAGGGTATCCCAGGAGTAAGGCACCTGGACCCACTGAGTCAGAGAAACTTCCAGCTGTGAGAGTACCTAGATGTAGCTCTTAAGAGCTGAGCTTTGGGGCAATGTCTACCATCAGCACCAAGTTCCCTCGCTTCCACTCGGAAGCCAAGCAGTGTGAAGGTGGCCCACGGTGACTGCTTTGGGCCTTGCCACCAGCTGCCACAGGTAGGAAACCTGCCCCTCGTGAACCACGAAGAGAATTACCACTCTGCGCCGCAGCAGCTAAGTCTTACAGTGTGTTCAGAGCATTTTCAGTTCAGTTCACTCTAACAAAAACAGGCATTGAGCACCTACCAGATGCCAGGTGCTGGGTGCCGAGGCCACAGAGGTGAGGCCCACCCTGCTTTTGCCTTCACGAAGCTCAAGGACCGGAGGAGACGCAGAGGAAAATTCATCTGCAATGCAGAGTGAAAAGTACTGGGAGGGAGCAGAGAGAGACCCCATTCAGCCTGGGGGCAGTCGGGGAAGGCTCTCAGGAAGAGGTCATCTTGACACAATAATCCCTGTGAGGTAGGCAGTGTGAGGATTGTTATCCTCGCTGTGTCGGAGGCAGTGACGAACCCAGGGACACTACACCGCCCTCTAGTCGGAGGAGGTCAGACAGTCCCCCGCCTTATTCTCAAACCCCAACCAAAGGCTGGACATTCCTGAAATAGGTTCCTGAACCCCTAGCTGAGGATACTCAGGCCTACCGCCCACTCACAGTTTAAGGACAGTATTTACCAAACAAACGCAATTCATCCCAGCAGGCAGAGCATAGGCCCAGACGGAGCCGTCCCATGCGTGCGGAGCGGGGCTGAGCGGGCTGTACAGTCTCCCTGAGATTCCTCCGGCTGCTTGCCGGCAGGTACAGGGCCACGGTGGGGTTTGATGTGAGCAGCTTTCCTTGGTGGCCTCCAGAAGTGTATATTATAGTCCACTTAGCATCTTCCTCCGTTGTATTTTCCTACCGTCATAGACATTTCTAAGAGAAATCCCCCCATTTCTCAGGTGGGGGAAGCACTTATCAAGGGTACCCAAACGATCTTGAAAAAGAACAGTTGATGTGTGGAATCTAAAACACAAAACAGACAAGTAAAACAGAAACAGATTCATAGATACAGAGAACAAACTGATGGTTGCCGGGGGGG